TTTTTTTTTTTTTTTTTTTTGCTCACGCTCCACTGGCATGGATAGGGGCCCACTGACATTGAGAGTGTACAGGGCCCAGAATTTGGTGCTACGCCCCTGTGCAGAGGTGTGACAATCAGTCAATTCAGTTTACCGTGCAACCATCTGGGGGCCCCATAGTGGCAGTGGGGCCGTAGGCAGCTTGTATACCCAAAAGGGGCTTTAGACAGAAAATGTAACATTATATATTGTTAATCATATCACACACATACCTGTCAGCTAATTTCTGCTGGAAAGAGTCGGTTGCCAGAAACCCCAGAGTGGTCAGCACCTGTATATGCACCAGGATGGCGCGGTTCCGGTGGGGGGGGGGGTCTGTCTAACACTGGACCCAGTTCAGCACATAGATCCAAGAGCACTGCTCTAGGGAATCTAAATTGGCTTATTAGACAGTCATCATCATGGGTCAGGAAATCTTCTTGGTCCCTAAAGGCTCTCTCCATGCTGATCCTACCATTTGCGTGATCTTCCAGCAGTGCCAGCACACCCATTGTGCAGCATTACGCATGAGTGTCTCCGCACTATTTATATGCTTACTCAGCAATTAGACTGATTGTTACACACCTTGTCACATTTAATACTAATCAATCAGTGCTATCCACCGCTCTATATCATTTGAAGATGGAAGTATGATATTTGAACATTGTGCATACAGTAGTAGGCCAATGGCTCACTAAAGGAACACATCTGTAACACTGCAGACTTGGGTGTTTATGATTACGCGGGTCTATAAGTCTGATATGTGATGACATTAAATGTATGAGATGAATCTGGCTTCAGTTCACCACCTCACCATCTGCGCCGCCAGTTTCCCCCGTCTCCAAAATGTTTGTGCGCAAGGATCAAAGTTGATGTACCGGTGTGCACATTCTCCCGCCAAGTTTATTTTTATAAATCACAACCTTTGCGTGGGGAGTGGCGTACGCCAAGCAAGCTTTATAAATGAGGCCCCTGATGTGTTTACTGTCAACGAAGCAGTTGACATATTTTTGGTCCAAATTAAAGCTGATGGTGGTTCAGACTCTGCTGTGAGTCGTGTTGTTCTTCATGTTTGTTTCAAGTTTCAAATCTCTTCAAATGAAATAAAACAAAATGATGAGCATCTTTTCTCTCTGTGTTTTGTTCTCATGTGATAATGTAGTTTTGTAGACTCGTTCTACAATGAGGAACAAAACGACCACAAAGAGATGAAGAACAAACATAAAGAGAGGAAAAACTTCTTCAGAGACGTTAAAGAAGTAATCCATTAATTCCCATGGATGATAAATATCAGAAAAAGGAAAACACCTACAAAGGGACACTAAATAAACACTTCTGTGTGCTTTGGTTTGAAAATGCTGGAGACAGATCCAACATGAGAAGTGTTTAATTGGAGCACATTTAGTTTTTGCTCTCATTCTTGCAGGTTTAAATTCATCATCTTTGAGTTTTTATGCACTCAATAAATATATTTCTGTCAAATTTTGGTCACAAATTTGTTAAAGTTTGTGTTAATGAGCACTTCTTCTTCTCCAAGATAATTTACCCACCTGACAGGTGTGACTGATTAAACAGCATCTTTACTACACAGGTCACAGCTACTACCACCACAACAACCACAACAACCATCCCCTCATATTAAATCATATTATTTGATGATAATGATTCATTTACTCTGACTCTGAGCAGCATCAGGTGTTTTTATTTTTAACCCTCCTTAACAGTAATCAGAGTTTAATCAGCTCCTCAGTATAAAACACATGAAGTTATATCATTTTTATAACATTATCTGGGAATATATAAATCTAAGCAGAGCCTTCGTCTGTCTGCTGACATTTTCATTTTCTGTTCAGATGGTAAAAGATATCATCCCACAAGGTCTGTGATACATCAGTGCAAAGCAACACACTACATTCACTGTTTCTACTGTAACAATGTCATTTTTTAAGGATTCATAACAATCTGATTCTTCAGCTTTTTTTCTATTTTGTCTCTACATCTCTGTGACATCGGCATATTCAGGTTTTCTCCTGCTGTAAAAGTACCTTTTCACTTTCTTTTATCGGAGTATATTTTTACACAAATAACTGTATTTTTACTTGAGTTAAGTGTCTTTGAAGAGATGGTACTTTTGAGTAAAATGTCTTCATCGTAAAAGTAGAAATAAAGTAGCATTCACCAAAAAATAATTATAATAATAACGTTCAGAAAATAAAATAAGATTCTGTTCTCATTCACTGAGGAGAGAACTTCTATACTCAAGTTAAATATATTTATAATTGTAATGTGATTAACTGAGTATTCTAGTACTCTCACTGGCTCAGGGTCGATATTTGACATGAATCACATTCAGTCTGACCCTCCACTGGGACCAGTTTGCTATGGGGAAAAAAAGTAAAATGTCTTTATCATAAATAAAAATAATCCAACGGGGTTCACACAAAAGGAATTAAATAATGTACAAAAATGAAATAAAAACAAATCTGTTGAGACCTGACGCTGTAACAAATCTCCAATTAAAGTTTCAAATCAGCTATCAGAAATAATAAATAATTAGCAATAATAATGATTAATCATAATTATTGATAATGTGACTTATTTTACATTAAATCACCTCGGGGCACCATTCCCAAAAAAGGCAAAAATGAGAGCCAGTAAATTATATCAGTCTCATTAAACACACTAAGCTGTCAGCATTTGGAGCTCTGATTATTAATTAGAATAATAACAATAATTAAAATGACTATACTGATAGTAAAAGTTGAAGGATTTGGGAGTTGTTGACATCGCGGAGAATGACTGTTCATTCAATCTTGTGCAACATTAAACAGACAGCAGGTATGATTCACAAAGTTTTTATTTAAAAAGACAGTGAAAAAACACATACACATTTAGCATGGGTGTGTATGTGTGTGTGTTTAAAACAAAATCTGTCTGGCCTAACAACTAAATAAATAAATAAATAAATAAAAATAATTATTAATAATAATATTATTTATCAGTCCCTCCAGGATCTAAGTGCAAATTCTTATGTCAATACATAACGTTTCTCCATACTGCAATAACATTAACTCATTTGATGACACGTCAAATCTGATGTCTGATGTCTGATGTTTGAAATGATGTCGGGTGTGCGACGACTTCCGGTTGGCCGGAAAATGCAGAAAAAAAGTGGGACTTTTGAAAAATTGCAAGCCCCTGCAAAAATTGCAGACTTGCGTTGAATTTGGGTTAATTATTGCGATTGCAAGATCGTGGTTTTCTGGAGGGACTAATTAATAAATTAACAAAATAACAGGTTCTCTGTACCTCTGAGATGCATATACACACACATACACATTCACATATATCCATGTATGTTGAAACATTTAACAGACAAAATAAAATTAACAAAAAAACGCTTGCTTGGCTCCGAGATAAGACAAGACATTACTCTGAGTTTGATTCTCTGCAATGTATCAGAAACAGTTCCCAGATTTCCAAGAACACATCCGGTTTATTGTTTGCCTTTTAAATGAGGTGTTCGTAGGAAACAGATTCTTCTAGGTCACTGAGGCATTCTTGCTAGTCTGCTGGAAGCAGGCCACATTCAGGGCAAGACTGCAGCTCCTGCTGTGGGCATTCAAAGGTGAGAGAAGAGGGAAGGGTGTGGCAGGGCCTCCTGTGTGATGTCCTACCTCTTCAAAGATTCGGGGCAAGAACTAGATGGAGAGTAGAGGTTTCTGTTTTTCTGCCCAATCAAGTTTTAAGACTGAAGGTGTGACAATGACGCATCCTGTGGAGAATATTGTTGAAACAGACCATCATGGTGAAGAGTCTCAGACAGCAGAGGTACTCATGAGCTGTTTGTTTCCTGCTTCATCAGCAGCAGACTGTGCTGATCTTTGGTCCTTACATCTTTTATGTTTCCAGACAGCAACAGACACTCCAGCAGCTAAAAGAAGCACTGCAACAACTCCTGCTGCTGCCAGTCCAACGTGTCCACGAGGGAAGTTTCCATCCATGAAGTTCACATTCTTTGAACCTGAAGATTAAAATAAGCCTTCATTTGTCTTGTGTATTTCTGATGTTTGACTCTCAGGAATAAACTGCAGCTCCAACCTGATACACAGACACACACACACACTGAGCTCCACACACTTACCTGTAACCTCCAGGCGGATGACTGTAATTGGATCAGTCTTGAGGATGGCTCTCTTTTTAAGTCTTGATCCACCTGATTTAACTCGACACTCGTATGTTCCAGAGTCTCTGCTGGTCACATTCTTCAAAGTTAAAGACACGTCTCCGTCCTTCAGCTTTCTGTCCTCCACCTCCACCCTGCCTGTAAAGGATGGATGCTGGAAGGTTGTGTCGAAGTGTCCGTCTCTGTTTAAAAGGACGTACTGTGGCTCCAGGTCAGGTCTGGTCCACTCTACAGCTAAGATGGAGACATCACCAGCCTCACATCTCAGAGTGACGTTATCTCCAGGGTGCACTGTCACATGTTGGTCTGAAAAAGACAAAAACATCCAGAGTCGAAAGGACGCCACAGAGTAAACAGAAAGCCTCGTCCAAGGTTTTCTTCTTCAGGCTCTGAGTGTGTTCCCATATAAGGGAGGCATTTGGAGTCATTTGACTTTCCCATACAGTCCAACTTCTCATTTATAAAACCAACATTAATTTAGAATTTTTGTTCTGCATTCTTAAAGGTTCACACAGGTTATTATATAAGTGCAGAATATATAATGCAGAAGGCAAACAAACCAGCAACCTCGCTCTGCTCAACCAGGTCAGACTAAAGGGACCCAAAGCCAGGATTGTAACCAAAGTGCCGAGGTAGTAGCCAAAGTGTCTGAGGTAGTAGAACGAGACCCCATGATGGAAGGAACACCCGCCCACTAGAGGTACACCCTGCAAAGTCGATGATGAAGCAGCCAGGCAGGCATAATAAGATCAAGTGGCCTAAAGCAAATGATCGGGTAGCATGGCAGAACCTTGACGATGACTTGAGCCAGCTGTTGGAGCTGGCATTGCGAGGAAGTGTCGAGAACAAGCTCAACATCTTTGGGGAGATCATCTTTGAAGAGTGCAGACAGAGGTTTGGTGAAGTCAGTAGGAACTAGTAGGAGTAGGAGCCCACAGCCCCAAGGAAAGGAAGGAGAGAGAAGGAGATCGAGCAGCTAATCACAGCCAGGCGTCAGCACCGTTGGAGCTGGCAGAAAGCTGCATCTGAGGAGAAAGGTGGCCTGAAGGAGCTGTGGGATGAACTCAAATGAAGCACAGTGACAGACGAGCCACATCGCTTGGCTCCCCAGGGTATGTACCACGGCAAGCCCCACTGATCCTGCCATTTGGTACCTCCCCACCTACTCTGTGAGAAGTGGAAGAGGTTATCAAGAAGGCAAAGTCAGCTTCAGCCCCTGGGCCCAATGGGCTTCCCTATAAGCTGTGCAAGAACTGCCCCAAAAGTACTGTGGAAGCTTATGAGAACAACTTGGAAGAAGGAAGAAGTCCCAGCAGAGTGTCAGCAAGCCGTCGATGTGTTCATTCCCAAAGAGCAGAGCTCCCGTATCAGCCAGTTCAGAAGCATTGCCTTGTTAAACGTGGAGAGGAGGATTTTCTCTGTCCTGGCAAGGAGAATGACCAGCTTCCTCATGGCAAATGAAAACATTGACACAAGCTGCCAGAAGGCTGGAATCCCAGGCTACCCAGGATGCATCGAACACTGCCATGATTTGGGAACAAATCCAGCGTGCCAAGAGAGAGAAGAGCAACCTGAATGTGGTGTGGTTGGATGTCACGAACGCATATGGCTCAGTGCTATAGACTTTGCCTTGAAATGTTTTCATGTACCAGATTGTGATCAGAACATCATCACCAGATACTTCTAAAACCTGCACGTGTGTTTCACTCTAGAAGGCTACAACACGATGGCAACAGCTGGAACGCGGAATTGCCATGAGATGCGGCATCTCCCCCATCCTATTGTGTGGGCCTTTGAGATAATCCTCAGAGCTGGGTAGGTAGTCTGCGTCATCAAGCTAACATCAGGTGAGAGGCTCCCATCGCTGAGGAGCTACATGGATGACGTGACAAGCATCCTTCAGACGGCACCATGCACCACAAGGCTCCTCAAGCGCATGGAAGCCAGGGTGAAGCCAGGGTTTACCCCGTGGAGGTCAGATGCCGGGGCTTTGTTGGCAAAACTATGGTCCAACTACTCCATGGTGCTGGAATGGTGGGGTCAAATCAGCGGAAGGCCGTGAAAGAGCTAGGAGAGGAGGCAGAGAAAGTGAGCTACTGGCTGTGGCTCTGGAGGAAAGACAGTGGTTGGGGGATAACACCCCAATAAAGGCAGCTGCAGAGGGTGGCGGGGAGACGTTCCCTATCTGCCACAGCCCCCCCGCCCCACGCGCTCCTTCGGGAGATGTACTGGAATAGGGGGCGAAACATCAGTAAATGGCAGCCAGCTAGTGCTAGCGAGCAGCTAGCAGCAAGAGGGAAACGCAAATCTAACAGACACTGTGAAGATGAGCAACAGGGGAGACAAAGAATTGCGCGCCCTCCTTTTCCTCGTAAACGAAGAGGCCATTAACCGTCAGATGACGGGGACGGTGAAGGACGGGCCGAGAATCGCTGCCCGACTAGCCGCGGCTTCCCTCCCACGTCACTGTTTACGTCACACGCTGAGCTACACGTTTTGTTACTTGCTCACGCCCCCCATTGCCCCGAAAAAGGCACATTCTGTATAAACAAAAGTAGGTAGGCGGCATTTTGCTGCACTCCCCGATTTTGTTTTTATACTGCCAATGCTGAAAAAAGACTGATTGGGCTTTCCTGCAAATTTGCACAATTTCTGTTTAAAAAGGGCTTGTGTGTGCAGTGTGACAAAAGATAATCCGTGAGGGAAGAAGTTCCACTCTGTAACACCACAGTCTAATCAGAGCCTTCCTGTAGTTCCAGCAGCTCCCAACAGAGTGAGACGTTGTCTAGAGGATCAATCAATTCAATTCAATCAATCAGTTTTATTTATAAAGCCCAATATCACAAACCACAATTTGCCTCACAGGGCTTTACAGCATACGACATCCCTCTGTCCTTATGACCCTCGCAGCGGATAAGGAAAAACTCCCCCAAAAAAAACCTTTAACGGGGAAAAAACGGTAGAAACCTCAGGAAGAGCAACTGAGGAGGGATCCCTCTTCCAGGACGGACAGACGTGCAATAGATGTCGTACAGAACAGATCAACATAATAAATTAACAGTAATCAGTATGACACAATGAGACACTTCATGTTACTTTCAGGAGTCACACAGTCCTTTTATTCACATCACATCAATCATTTTAATTTAACAGTCTGAATCAGGACCTTTGATATTTGGATCAAGAAGCCTGTAAAAAAAAGTACAGAGTGTCAGATGTATCATCTATGCTGTTACATGTCTAAATTTCCCTCACAATCATTAAAGTCAGTTTCTATTTTTCCATCCATCCATCCAACCATCATTTAAGAGGCTCATGTTTAATCTACATTTAGGTAAATGTGCTTCAGGTGTCAGATCACATTCTGTATCAGTAGATATTCAAATCAGGCTCTGGGCCAAAAAAGTGCAATATATCAGGTACAATATTATAATGATAATAATAATATCATATAGTAGTAAGGGTAAGTAATGAGGCAACAATATGGAGCTATATTGGGGCCAAATGTTTTGTACTTGAAAAAATACAATTTGAAACTGAAAATTCAAGTTTTGATTTCACTTTCTTATAGTTAGATATTTGAGATCTTATTTTTTACAATTTCAAATCTATTTTTCAGTTTCAGATCTTTTGGCCCTGATCTAATGTGGGGGGACGTGGCATCAACTGAGAGGGGTGTGGAAATCATGACACACAGCCTAACAAAAAGGCTAGGGACCTTCCCCTATCACAGTGCCTTCAGGGAACATAGGAACTAAAACAATCCAACTCAACACTTTATGTAGGCTACACCATGTGACTGGCAGTGAAAAAACTGAAACTTCTATTTGCACATCTAAATCTGTTTTATTGTCTTACTATATAATGACGAAAAAACTGTGTGTGTGTGTGTGTTCCACGTTTTTCTCCTCACTGACTTGGTCAATCCATGTGAAATTTGGCACAGTGGTAGAGGGTCATGGGAGGATGCCAATGAAGCAATATTACATCAATTGGCCAAAGGGGGGCGCTATAGCAACCCATTGAAATGTTAAACTTTGAATGGGTGTATCTCATGCCCCGTATGTGGTAGAGACATGAAACTTTGCACAGAGATGCCTCTCCTCATGAGGAACACATTTGCCTCAAGAACCCATAACTTCCGCTTATATAGATTTTCCGCCATTTTGAATTTTTTGAAAAACACTTCAAATGGATCTCTTCCTAGGAAGTTTGAGCGATCTGCATGAAACTGGGTGAACATAATCTAGGGACCAATATCTAAAGTTCCCTCTTGGCAAAAGTTGGAAAACTTACTAAAACTGAGCTTCTATAAGGCAATGAATATTGCGGAGGGCGTGGCTCATCACATAAAGGTGTATAACATCTCAAGGGTTTCACCCATCACCACGCAACTTTGTAGGCATATGACCACACATAATCTGAGGGGACCCCTCCATTATTGACCCCATCAAACAAAATGGGGGCGCTAGAGAGCTCATTTCTTATCTAGGCCTAACCGCCATATGGATTTTTACTAAACTTGGTAGATATGTAGAACAGGACGCCTCAAGGTGACTGGAGAAATTTAACTCTAATTGGCAACTGGGTGGAGCTATAACAACAGAAAAATGCTTCAAAATGGCTAAAATGCGACCAATCGCTGTGGCTCCCCCTGTGGACCAATGTCGTTGTTGTTTTTCTAATTTTTGGTATGCTGTACTCAGTGGGTATGGACTAGTTATTGTTAATATTGTTATCTGTGTTATTGTGCACTTCAACAGCCACACTTTAAGTGCTAAAATTTCCTTTTTCCATGTAGCACTGTGAACGCAATGATGGCGACCACCTGGAGCCAGCACACAGGTGAGAAATGTTGAAAATGAGAGGTCGTTCTGTGACAACATACAATGTTTCTGACGTCTTTAAGTGGTGAATTGGCAAAGCTGGACGTCAAGCATGGGGCTAACGCACTCACACTCACATAATGCATCGATTTGCGATATGAGCTCACTAGGACTCTGGAAAGCAGTCAACAACTAGCCAGAGTCATACAAGCAGCGGGTTTGTTTACTGTTACCATAGCAACCGTTGCTTGTGTTCTTGTTTATTAGCATGTTGCTAGCTTTCTACTGTCAGTCATACACCCACACTTGTACATAATAGGAGCAACTGAAAAGGGACATTCTTCAGACACTACTGACTAAAGTTTCGCAGGTCACGCAGAAATTGCCCCCTGATGTGGACTACTTGTAGTTTGTAGTCAACCAGTAGATGGTTCTTTTAAGGTCAGTGTCTGGCCATCTCCTGACAA